TCCTCCTCATCCTCATCCTCACTCATCATCATCATCATCATCTCATCATCATCATCATCATCATCTCATCATCATCATCATCATCATCATCATCATCATCAGCATCATCATCATCATCATCATCATCATCATCACATCATCATCCTCCTCATCCTCATCCTCATCCACATCATCTATCATCATCATCATCATCATCATCATCATCACATCATCATCATCATCATCATCATCATCATCATCATCATCATCATCATCATCATCATCATCATCATCATCATCATCATCATCATCATCATCATCATCATCATCATCATCATCATCATCATCATCATCATCACCATCATCATCATCATCATCATCATCATCATCATCATCTCATCATCATCATCATCATCAGCATCATCAGCATCATCATCATCATCATCATCATCATCATCATCATCATCATCATCATCATCATCTTCATCCTCATCCTCATCCTCATCATCATCATCATCATCATCATCATCATCATCATCATCCTTCTCGTCCTCCTCCTCATCCTCCTTTTTCTCCTCCTCCTCCTCCTCTTCCTCCTCCTCCTCCTCCTAGCATGAAGGGAACGAGCTGCCGACAAGCCCCGCACACCCTGCGTACCGCGGTCGACACACGCCCAGAGAGCGCCGCTGCTCCCTGGGTTTCCCGCCTCGCGCCTTCGAAGCATGGCGACTGCGCACCAAAACTGTTTTACGAAGACCCTGCCCCCCACACACACACACACACACACACACACACACACACACACACACACACACACACACACACACACACACACCCACCCAACCAACCAACCAACCAACCAACCAACCAACCAACCAACCAACCAACCAACACACACACACAAACACACACACAGAAACAAAAATACATGGGGTCGGCGGATGTGTCTAAGCCTAGAACCGCATCACCGATGCATCGGCGATGCGGCGCGACCCTCCGACCCCATCTCTTCGGACCCCATCAGGAAGGCCTAGAGTTAGGTCGGGCATGTCCCCCGACAGGCGGATCTTGGACAAAAAAATAAATACCCCAAAATATGCCAAATACCCCGAAAGTGTACAAACAAAGTCGTTCCCATACAATTTTTTAACTATTTTTGAATTTTTCCCCTGTACAGGAACACACCCGACTTCAGCCTAGAACATACGTACCTGATCCTCCTCTGCGGACCAGCGCCACGCCGGCAGTGCGCAGCAGCAACCCCACCCCCATGGGTCAGCACGAGCACCAGGGCCAAGACGTGCAGAGGGTCTGCTGCGCTGAGGAGCACCAGCTGTTGCGGCGGTACGGGCGGGGTGCGTTCTGGCACGAGCTGCAGGCATAGGCGGCTGATCGCGGATGGGGCGGGCCCCTTCGTCGCAGGGGGCGCCTATTACCTTTTGTCCGCTCGCGAGCGCCGTGAAAGACGTCACGCGCCGCTTCGGCAAGAGCCGGCACCCCCGCCTCGGACGGCGGCACGCGGCTGCTCGCAGGGCGGCTGCTCGCAGATCGGGCGGATCCCCTTACCACGGAGGGTCTCCTGCCTTCGTCCACTCGCGAGCGGCCACCCCGCACTGCGAGCAGTGGCGCGCGGTCCTGGGTCCTCCCTGCTCTGCTCCGGGGGACTGGAAGAGCCCCCGAAAGGGGGGGGGGGGCCGGGGGGGAAGGGGGACGCACTGCCCCTGCGCCCGAGAGGAAACCAGGACGAGGCCCGAAGGGCAGGATCGGGTTGGGATGAATGGGGGATCGCTGCGAGCCCGCGGGTCTGGAGGATGCATCGGGCGCCACGGTCGTTCGCGGTCGGGTCTCGCCAGGGGCCACCCCTGGCCCAGCGTGACCGCAGCCTCTCCAGGGAGGCCCAAGCAGCCCCCAGAGCACCCCTCACGAGGTCCGGAGAGCCCCAGAGGCTCCAGTGGAGCGAGAAAAGCTGTGCCTGGGGGAGCCTTGGGCCAGGATCCCCTCTGGCAACCTCCGACCACAGAGCTCCAGAACGCCCCCGAGAACGCTCTGGAAGGGCCCATACGTACACAGACATCCGACGTCGCGATCTGCCTGTACCCTCTCCAGGGCCCCAGGCCAGATTCGGGGATGGACAGAACCCCCTTTAGCGAAACGCGGTTTAGCATTAAGTCGGGCCTGTCACTTTACAGGAGGAATACTCGAAAATAGTCAAACAATAGTCAGGGGACGATTGTTTGACTGTGTCTCAATATTTTTGTGTATTTGGGCTTTTCCGTCCAAAATCCGCCTGTAGGGGGACACGCCCGACGTAAGTTTAGTGCAACTGACCTCAGGCCCAAACCTGGCAGGCGCAAGCCTGGGAAATGACGGCCGCGGCGCCCTCTCGAGAACCGAAAACGCACAAATCCCCAATAGACGTGTCAGAGTGGGGGTTCTGTCCACCCCCGACAGCCCAGATGTCTGGGTCCTTTCCCGGGCAGCGCCCCGTCATCCTGCAGAAGGGTTTGTTTTTGTTTTGACAGCCCCGGAGGCCGAAAAGGCGGCACCCCGAGAGGACGGCACGAGCCCTGCCGCACACCGGGGCGGGGGGCCGCCGCAGCAGCTGGAGGGAGAAGGAGGAGGAGGAGAAGGAGGAAGACGGAAGGAGGAGGAAAGAAGGCGGCTCCAGGCTCGAGGCTCGAGGCTCGAGGAGGAGGAGGAGGAGGGGACCGGCCCACGGGGGCAAATATTGAATATCGACCTTGAATCGGCGATACAGTAGGGAACCGACCACAAGAAACCTTCCACAATACGAGAACGCCGCCCATGCACCGTACCATGCCTGGACTCCGTTGAGGGCCCGCTCGAACGTGGTACGGTGCACAGTTTTGGGGCTCCGAAGAACCGAAAAAACTATGCTGGAGGGGACTGGCTCACGGGGGCAAACATCGACCTTGAATTAGGTCGGGTCCTCCTACAGGCGGATTTTGGATGACAAAAATCCTCAAAACTAGTTAATTGTTTTGAATTTTCCTCCTGTGGAGAGACATGCCCAACTTAAACCTTGAATCGGCGATACAGTAGGAAACCGACCACAAGAAACCTCCCACAAGAAACCCAACCCTGAGACCCCAGGACGTCCATTGATTTTTGGTGGGAACGTCACGCTTTCCATCGCAAAACCATCGCAACCCAAGAAATCCAGGGCACCCTGGAGGCAAGCAGTGTGTTTCTTGGCATGGGTTTCCACTGTACATCGCCGATAGATCGGCGATAGGCCCCCGATGGCGGATCCGCACGTTCCTGGGCGGGGTGGGCTATCGGGCCCCATGTCGGCGATCCAGGGACGTTGTTGGGTCGATGCGTTCCCCCTGAACCTAGGCATCCCTGACGTTGCCCCCTAATGTTCGGGCCATAACTCGGCTCTCCAGCGGACGTTCGGGACGACCCAGGCATCCCCGGCGCTCTCTCGGCGAGGCGCAGCCGCTGGAAGGCACCACGAGGCTGGAAAGCCACCGAGATTCAAAAAACTTCCCACAACCTGGAAGCTCGAAACCTCCTCCCCCTCCCCCCCACTGAGCCTACCCCCCCCCCCCAAACGTTGCCCCCGATAGTCAAGGGGTGGGTGGGAGGCAGGCGGGGCGCGCGGCAGGCGCCCCAACGCTTGGCGCCCCCCTGGGATGGACGGCCACGCCGAAGCCGTGCCCACCACCTCCAGCACCCGGGCCGGCTCCACGCCCTCGATGTCCACCTCCGCAGCGGGGTGGGGGGAGGCGGCTCCGGGCCCCCTCCTCCCTCCTCGAGCCTCGAGCCTCCACCTCGAGCCTCGAGCCTGCTCATCGAGCCTCGACCCTCCTCGAGCCTCGAGCCTCCTCCTCCTCCTCCTCCTCCTCCTCCTCCTCCTCCTCCTCCTCTCCTTTTCCTTCTTCTTGTTAGTATGGCTCTTATTATGATTGTTCTTATTATTATTATTCGTCTTATTCTTAGGATTAGTATTACTGCTGTTGTTATTCCTAGTAATAGTATTACTATTATGGTTCCTCTTCCTCTTCCTCCTCCTCCTCCTCATCATCATCATCCTTTTTCCTTATACATTCTCCCTGTCGCACCCCGAGGCCGTTCGAAAGGGCGGGCTGGGCGTTTCGCGTGAGACTTCCTCACTACACCTGGCCCTGAAACTCAGCAATTGGCAACAGTTTCACAGATGGAGGGCGGGTCGTTTTCAAAGTGTGGTTCTCGCCTTCGCGCTGGGCACATTCGTTTTAAATGTTGCAAGAGTTTGACGAATTGAAGGCGGGTGGTTTCCAAAATGTGGTTCTCGCCTTAGCGCCGGGCACATTCCTTCTTTGAAATTACAGGGGCTTCATGGATCCCCATGGTAAACGTACCGAAAATTGTACTTGGGAGCGATTCAGGATTATGAGGGTGCAACAGTTACGTTGCTTCGCGGTGTTTAAATCCCAGGAATGGCGTTCTGCTCAAGACGAATCAATCGGATTGCTTCGTGGCGTTGGAATCCCAAGAATGGTGTTTTTGCATGCTTCAGGGTCTTCAAACGGTTGTCATCCAACGAGACAGTTCCCTCTGTGGAGTTGAAGCGTTGTACGGGCCTGTGAAACGGGAGTTTGAAGGGAGGGCTTCTTCCAACATCGTTATTGACTCTTGGGTTTGCGCTGGTCCTCCTCTTCCTCCTCCTCCTCCTCCTCCTCCTCCTCCTCCTCCTCCTCCTCCTCCTCCTCCTCCTCCTCCTCCTCCTCATTGTAAGTATTCCTCCTCCTCCTCCTCCTCCTCCTCCTCCCTCCTCCTCCTCCTCCTCCTCCTCCTCCGTAGCCATTTTGGCTCAAGCCCTTCTGGCTCCAGCCAATTTGGAGGAGCTTGTCGGCAGCGAACTTCAGAAGGGCGTTGCTGTCGCGAGTCACACTGGTTCGGTCTCTTCTCGGCGCGCGCGCATGGCCCCCGCGCCCTGGCAAAGCCGCCCTGCACCCTTCCGCCATGCGAAGTGGAGGTGCGGCTCCTGTGGATGTGCTCGCAACCTGGGCTGGATGTGGCAGTGCAAGCACTGCAAAGCCCAGTGGAATGGCGCCACGTGCTCGGAGGTCGACCCGCTGCGCCCCCCGTCCCAGGATGGTGCTGGCTCTCGCCATCACTTCGCTGGTGGTCCTCGTGGTGCTCCGCTTCCTCCTGGCCCCGTCGGCGGAGGTGGTGGACCGAGCACAGATGGCATCAACACGAAGGGCCTCAGCGCGGAGGACCTTCAGCTGCTTGCTGCCATCGCCACTCGTCAAGGGCAACTGGATTTGGCCAAGCAGTATGAGTCAGCCCGCGCGAAGCTACTCCAACCTGCTCGTCAACCTGAGGCCTCGCTCCACACCCGCGCCTCGCAGACCCAGAGCAAGATCAGGCAGGTGGAAAAGAAGCTCGACAAGGAGATCTCGAAGCTGGAGCGCTGGCGCGAGGCCACCACGATGCTCGAGGCCTCCATCCAGGAGATGGCGGACGAGCTGGACGGCCATGAGCGGCAGTACTCGGAGCTCGTCGAGCAGATCAGTCTGGAGGTGGCCTCGTCGGTGCAGCCCAAGCAGTCGACGGGCCCGATCATCAGCCTGCGGGACCTGGTGGAGGGCAAGGAGCTCAGCTTCGAGCTCGTCGACGATCTTTGTGCGAACATGCCTGAGGAGTTCGAGATGTCTGATGAGGACAAGGAGCAGTTGGAGTCGCGCAAGGCTCAGTTGCGCGCAGGCCTCAAGGACATGGCGAAGCAACTCTTCGGCAACGCTTCGTCGCATCTGGAAGCCGCTCGTCGCGAACACCGGGAGCATCTCAAGAGGTTGTCGAAGAAGAAGAGGAGGACCGCGGAGGGCGACACACCTGGAGGCGCCGACGGCGCTGCTGAACCTGGTCAAGGAGCTGGTGCTGCAGCGCCTGGAGGCGCTGAGCGGGCGACTTCTGAGGCTGGTGGTGGAGCCCCAGCCGCCTCTTCTGGCGGCGTTGCGGGCCCGTCGCGGCCTTCGGGAGCTGACCCTGCTCTCCGCGCCAGGCTCTCACGGGTGCTCTCAACGTCAGATCCGCCTTTTCGCCCCCCCGCCCACAACTGCGGTGGGGGCGGGGGAAGTGGCTGCTGAAGGTGAAGGCCTATCCCCTCGAGCTCCTGCGTCGGCTCCCCGCCTGAGCCGTCTCCTGCCTCGCGTGAGTGTAGTTTTTGTCGGGTTGGGGAAGGGTGGGAGTCCAATTTTGATGGAGCCTACTTTACTAACTTTAGTAAGTATCACTCGGGCCCAGGAGTCCCAGGCCCAGGGTCCAGGCCAGACGAAGACTCTCTCGGAATGGTAATCGCCACGGCTAACTGCAACAGCTGGGGCTCGCTTCGTGATTGGCTTCCGTCGGCAGTGACCCCCCACGTCATCTTGGTGCAGGAGCACCATCTGGCTGATCAAGATTCGATTGGTCGTGCTTCGAAGTTTTGTCTAGATCATGGGTGGAAGAGCCTGTGGGAGCCTGCAGCTCGGACGGCTGAAGGATGTACGTCAGGAGGCGTAGCGATCCTGGCCAGGGCCTTCTTGGGGCTCCACCAACCTCTGCAGATCTACATTGGCCGTGCCCTGGGTGCTATTGCTCATCTCCCAGGGGGTGTTCAGTTTGGGCTCGTCTCTGTCTACGGGTTCGACACGGAGGGCCTCGCGGCCAGGCAGTTGGAGCTTCATAAGGCGATGCGCTCCCACGTGGTTCTTGAAGGCCTCCCATACGTGGTGGGGGGCGACTTCAACCTCGAGCCCCCGGAGCTCCGAGATACGGGCTTTCTGGAGTTAACTAGGTGTGAACTTATTTCGACGGGTGCGCCCACATGTTTTGGTACTCGCCAGTCGGACTGCGACTTTATCCTCGTGCCTGGAGGCCTGGCCAGAGGAGCGAAGCAAGTGCAGCGATGCGTCGGTTGCGAGGTCTCGCCGCACTTCGTGGTGGAGCTGGAGTTCTACCCTGCCCTCTGCCGCCTGCAGGCCCTGGGTTTTCGCAAGCCCCCCCCCCCCCCTCTCCCTGTGGATGCCCCAACGGGTGTGGGGCCGCCCCCAGGGGACTTCGGAAGGGCTCACATGCCCCTGGAGTTGGGGGAGAGAGCTTTGAGGCCCCAGGATGCCAAGGAGGTCCAGCGTCTTCTGAGCAGGGCCCACCAGACTTGGGCCAATGTTTCCGAGGGAGAGCTTTGTCAGAGGCTGGAGGAGGAGCTCCCCTGCCTTGGTTCTAGAGGCAAGGACCCCCAGGTTTGTTGGAAGCCGATCCTTCAGGAAGATGTCAAAGCTAGGCGGTGCCCAGAGCTCCGTGCCATGAGGTGGTTTTGTTCTAGGTTCCGCGCTGCTGCCCAACTTTTACCTGCGGTCTGGGCTGGACAAGCCTCGACTGACATCAGGCGCACCGTCGGCGAGCTGCTGACTGGCGTGCTCTAGTCTGAGCGGGTCCCTTGTCAGCTGCCCCACCAGGACAAAATTTCTCTGTTGCTGGACATCAGGGACTCGCTCAAGGACTGGGATTGTTTCAACCCTCCTCCCCGCGTTGAGCTGGATGCTATTTTGAAAAACTCGGCCTCAGGACACGTTGCATCCCCCGCCTCTTGCGTAGGCGAGGGCGGGGGCGACTCCTTGCATGCTGCTGGGGATCCCTCTCTGAGCGACTTGGATCGGCCTTCTGACCAGCTTGCTGTTAGGCTTGCTAGGCTGGAGGCCCTGCTCACGCGCCAGGAGGAGGTCCTAGCTGCGTGCGCAAAGCACTACCAGCGGAAGGCCGGTCAGGACTGGCATGCTTGGTCGACGGATAAACTCAGTCAGGGTGCCCGCAATGTCCAGTGTGCACTGGAAGCCCACTGCCACCCTCTCCTCTGAGGGTCAGGTTGTTTCTGATCCCCAGCAGTTGCTCGGCGCTGAAGTCAAAACGTACTCGGGCCTCTGGCAGGTCCGCGCGTCGCCCCCGAAGCTCAGGTGCCAACCCTCTGAACCCCTTTCCCCCTCTGGATGTGGAGTATCTTCGGAAGCTGAGCAGGAAGTACCCTAAGAGGAGTGCCGTGTCCTACGATGGTTTTCACTTGAGGCATTTTCAGCACCTCAGTGATGCCAGCTTGGAGGTGCTCAGCTTGATCCTCTCGCTTGCTGAGCGCTCTGGCATTCTCCCGACCCAGCTTTCGGCTGTTCTGGTGGCCTTGTTGGCCAAAGAGAAGGGGGGGGGGGGTCGGCCGATCGGCATTTTCCCTTCGGTGCACCGCCTCTGGGGGCGGGCTCGCAGGCCGCTGGCGGAGGCCTGGGAAACGCGTTTTTCCAGGGACTACTGGGCCGCTGGACGGCACAGAGGGGCTATGGATTGTGTGTGGCGCCAAGCCTTTAGGTCGGAAGCTGGCGTCAGGCGAGGTGCCTGCTCAGCCACTGTTCTGTGGGACATGTCTAAGTACTATGAGCTGATCGACCTCGAGGCCTTGGAGCTTAGAGGCCGCAGGCTTCAGTTTCCCCTGGGTGTCCTGCACATGTGTCTGGCGGCGTACAAGTCGGCTCGGTATATCTGCCTCTCTGGTATCATCTCTGGCCCTCTGAGGGCCACCCACGGCATAATCGCGATCTGCAGCATGGCCACTACCCTCATTCGTGTCCACGCCCTCGATGCCTTCGACACGGTTCCTCGTTCGCTCAGCCTGCACCGCATTGATCGGGAGACTTCGGAATTTTCTTCCTTCGGCGCCTATATCGACGACACTAGCATCTCGGCTATTGGTACCAGGTCCTTTGTTAGATCTACCATCCTGAACATGGCTTCCCTGCTTCTGGCGGGTATCAGGCAGATGTTAGGGGGCTTCGGGCTTCGTGGCTCTCGACAAGGTTGCCTTAGTGTGCTCCTGTGGCGCTTTGGGCCAGCAGCTGGAGGCTGACTTGGGCCCTTTCGGTGCACTGGACACCTCCGCCATCAACCTCGGCTGCGACGATGCGGCTGGCAAGCGTTTCCGGACGGGCAAAGGGAGGACGAGGAAACATCAAGAGAATAATATCAAGATGCAGCACAAAGCTATGCGTTTGAAGCGGCGCCGGTCTCACTTCGGGAGGAAAGCTGTCAAGGTGTTCACTTCAGGCCCGATGCCTGGATTTATAGACGGTTGTGAAGTCCAGGGCCTCACGGACGGTGAGGTGCACAGTCTGCGGCGAGTGGCCGCCAGTTCTATCAAGCCCGATGCCGCACGCAGATCGCTGACGGTGCTGTCTCTTATTGAAGGGGGCCCTGTTTGGCACGGCTCGGTTGCCCCTGTGCTGCGCTATATCAAAGAGGTCTGGCTTCTCAGGACGAGCGCTTTTCCTGGAACTCTGGACTGGGCTACTTCACGGGCTTCCTGGGAGAGTGTGTTTGTCAGTCGCCAGCAACCTGTTACTTGGAGGAGTGTCTCGGGGCCGATGAGTGCCATGTTCATGAGTCTTAGGAGGATCGGGCAGGACACGAGGACCATGGCTGTTTTTTACCGACGACATGGGGCGAGAGCTCTCCTGCACGCAACTCTCGCCAGCTCTTTTCACGGTTCTGCTGCGCCAGGCTGTGCTGCGCCAGCTCGAGAGAGCGGCCTACGGCAAGCTGGTGGACGGCGATCTCTTTTACGGCGTCGGAGTTCCTCCGCCAGAGCCTGTCCAAGGCCTAGATGAGCCTGCAGCCGCGGAATTGGCCCCCGATCGGAAACCCCCCGACCTTGATGGATCGAATCGCCTGTGCTTCGATGTCGTCACGGCTGGTCCCCGTTCGAAGCAAACTCACGGCCTGAGAAAAAGGCTCCGTGCGTGCCTTTTCTTGCAACGCCTTGTGGGCCAACTCCCGCGCACTAAGGTACGGCTACCAAGTGTGCCCTCTGTGCCCGCTTTGTCATGCTAAGGTGGACTCTGTCTTTCACAGATTATGGGAGTGCGAAGTGTGCAAGGAGGAACGGGACGAGCTAGTGGATGAGGAAGTAATCTCTTGGGCCAGGGACGCTTGTGACCAGAACTCGGGGGACCTCGTGAACTTCTTGACGGGTGCCTTTGCGCATCCTGGTGACTATGTGCCGCAACCAGTCAGTCAGCAGGACTCGGACGCTGTCAAGATGGAGTTTTTCCAGGAAGGTTTCCAGGATTCAGGCTTGGAATTCCCTGGGCCCGAGAATATCCGCTTTGAAGGCAGTCTTTTCCTGGACGGCAGTTGTTTTCGGTCTAAGATTCGCGAGTTGTCCAGGGCTGGCTGGGCCTTCGTGCTTATGCCTGATCAGGGCCACCTTCTGGCCAGAGTCTTCGGGCCTGTCTGGTCTCACTTGCCGCAGTCGTTTCAGGCTGGTGAGTTCTCGGCACTGGCTGCTGCTGGTGTCAATTTAGACGGGCCTGCGACACTTTTCTCTGATTGTGCGTCGGTTGTCTGTTTGTGCTCCAGGGCGCCTCGGGGCCGCCTGGGGGGGCAATGGGCCTACGCGGGCTCGGTCCTGGAAGCCTTCGCGGGTGCGGGTCCCCTCCTCCAGGGCCTGGTCAAAGCCGCCGCGCACAATGCTGTAGATGAAGAAGGAATTTCTGTTCAGGAGGCTTGGCGGAGGACGGGTAATTTTCATGCTGACCTCGCTGCGAAGCGAGGTGCGAATGTCCATCCCCAAGCCAACCCTGATGTTCTGTCT